TTTTCATTCTGAAAAATGGAGAAAACTTGATGGGTACAGATTTTATTGAAACATTCGAATTGTGGGATAAACCGTTAAACTCATTCTGCAGAAAAGTAGAAAGTAATACGCAAACAAGACAGGACATTAAAGAGGAATTAAAGAAAAAGTTTCCGGAAATCTTCACACCTGGTCTTGGAAGATGTAACAAGTTTGAAGCTAAATTTAAATTAAAGGAAAATACTATGCCAATTTTTAAAAAGAAACGTAACGTGCCTTTCGCAAGTGTAGAGAAAATTAACGAAGAACTTGATAGGTTGAAAAAAATGGGAATTATTTCGAAAGTAGAATCTAATTCATGGGCTACGCCGATTGTGTGCATAAAAAAAATCAAACCAAGTCAGAGTCTGCGTTGATTTTTCGACAGGGTTGAACTCGGTAATTAAGGACTACCATTACCCGTTACCGAGTCCGGAGGAGATTTTAACAAGCTAAATGGTGGAGTTATATTTTCAAAATCGACTTATCAGATGCCTATCTCCAAATTCCGTCGAAGAGGAATGTTCGAAGTTACTAGGGATAAACACGCATAGAGGGTTATTCAAGTACAACAGGCTTCCTTTTGGTATTAAAGTGGCACCAGCCATTTTTCAACAACCTATGGACGTCATGTTGAATGATTTAGACTTTGCGTGCGCCTACTTAGACGACATCATAGTAAGGAGCGAAACTGTCGACGAACATCGAGAGCATCTCAATAAAGTATTTAAAAAGATTCAGGACTTTGGTTTTAAAGTCAAAGAGTCAAAGTGCGAATTTGGTTTGGAGGAAATTAAGTATTTAGGTCACATAATCAACAAAAAGGGCAGATTTCCAGATCCGGAAAGGTCCATTGCGATTAGAGACATGCCGACGCCCACTAATGTGGCGATGCTACAGAGTTTTCTGGGGCTTGCAAATTATTATCAAGCGTTCATTAAAGGAATGTACAATCTATGAGCTCCGTTGAATGAACTGCTAAAAAAAGACAAGGCATGGGAATGGACGGCAGAATGTCAGAAAGCCTTTGATGAAATAAAGAAAATGCTTACGTCCGACCTCTTTTTAACCCATTACAATCCAAAACTGGATATTGTAGTGGCAAGTGACGCTAGTTCATACGGGATAGGAGCGTGTATTCAACACATAATGCCAGATGGTTCTAGAAAACCAATTGCACATGCTTCGAGAACTTTACTCCCAGGAGAAAGAAGTTACTCCCAGATAGAAAAAGAGGCATTGAGTATCATTTTTGCCATAACAAAATTCCACAGATACATCCACGGCAGACATTTTATGCTTGAAACGAATCATAAACCACTGATCACTATTTTTGGTTTAAAGAAAGGGTTACCCATTTATACGGCAAATCGTCTGTTGAGATGGGGAACCATTCTTCTCAATTATGATTTTCACATAAAGCACCTATCATCTAAAAATATAATTCATGCGGATAGTTTATCAAGACTCGTACCGAGTCAAGAAGAAAGATTCGAAGAATCAATTATTGCAAATATCAGAGCAGATTATGAGGTGAAAAGCATGGTAAACAACATTGTAAGAGAGCTACCGGTTACACTAAAGGAAATTAAAAAAGAAGCTGAAACCGATGATTTCATTTTAGAAATAAAAAGCAAAATGGGAGCAAATGACCAAAAAGTGCAGGAGATTTATTCAATAGGTGAAGGAGTTTTAATCATCGATGTAAAGGGTGTGCGTTAGCAGCTAAGGCACCACCTATAGTACACAAACCATGGCCCAAGACGGATCATCCGTGGACAAGATTACACATTGGTTTCGCTGGTCCAGTAGAAGATGATTACTACTTAATAGTGGTAGATAGTTTTACAAAATGGCCGGAAGTACTACGCTGCAAAAAGCCTACATCTAATACCACAACAACTTTTTTGCATAAAGTATTTGCACGGTTCGTTGTGCCAGAGTGTATTGTGAGTGACAATGGTACACAATGCACTTCTGAAGAATTTAAGGAATTTTGTGAGTTATATCAAATTAACCACATAACGCCGCCGCCGTATCATCCGAGGTCCAATGGACTCGCAGAAAGATTTGTCAATACTTTAAAGCGCGCTCTGAAGAAATCCTCAGGAGTTCCAACGGAAAAGGCGCTTCAGCAATTCCTACAAGTATAAAGAAATCACGCCAAACCAGAGAACACGCTCAAACATGGCACCAGCTGAACTAATGTTAGCTAGGAAAGTTAAGTCAGTGTTTGACAAACTTTTGCCAGGAAAAAATAGAGTAAAGAATACTATGTATACAGCGAGAAAAAGATACACCTCCGGAGAGAAGGTGTTTTTCAAATGCTACAAAAACAACGTTGAGTTCTGCGAGCGAGGCATAGTGGACAAGAGAATCGGTGACCTGGTTTACATAATTAAAGGGCCGAAGAATACTCATAAACGGCACCAGAATCAACTTAAAAAATGTTACGTTATAGAGCATGAAGAGAGTATACCGGATGAGGAGGAAGATCCCATTGAGGTAATGTATGATATATTTCAAGTAGAACCTCCGCAGAATACTCCTGAACCGAGAAGATCCGGTAGGAAACGAAAGTTTACGGACCCATTGGACGTGAATCCAAAACGGAAAAATATTAAAAGTAAGCGGATGGACATATGCATATGAAGTATGCAAATGGATCTACAAAGAAATAGCCATAATCATCAACCCATATAGGAAGCCAATTTGAAATCCAAAAGGGATTACAAGGCTTGGGAGGGGGTGTTGTGGTAGGATCCACCTAATTTGCATAGTGGTGTACCGACCTATAAATATGGCTGGTACCGGGAAGAGAGGGAGGAATCAAGAGATTCAACCAGAGACTCTGCCCGACTGCGACTCAGTCAACACATTCTCCAGGAACGGTCTTACCAGGAATATACAAAAGACTATATGTAAACATTGTGTACACTTTCTTGTTTCAATACATTTTATTCTAAGTACATTTTGTGTTGCATTATTATTCCATGCATTAGTCAAGTTTCAACAATTAGTAAATCTTCTATCACTACACCATTATTCCACCCGACATTTCTTACAATCTCGAAATATTTTCTGATTTTAAATTTTATTTTTATTTTCACGAAATATTTTCTGATTTTAACCCGTGAAAGCCTGAAAAGGGAGTTAAAACGTATCAATAAAACAATGCTTATATGGCAGTGAATTCTGGACGATTTCTTCACAAAGAAATGACTAGAGAGAAATGTGGTTTTGCAAAAGGATGCTGTGAATGCCATAGACATGGGAGCAACGAGGTAGTTTTAAGGAAATGAGAAATAAGTAGACTTTGAAGACAATTTAAATATATGGAACATTCAAACGTAATGTCAATCGACGTCTCCAGGTGCCCTGATCTATCCCATATCCTTCTCTTCATCCTTTCCTCTATCACTCCTATTTGATCTCACTCCAACTCTCTGTAACCCCTTGCGTGCTAATGGATTCCCGCCTTGCATGGGGGTGAAAGGCTTGAAAAAAAAAACATAACAAGGAAAGTAAGCTTGGAGAGTTTATCACTCAAAGGACATTCAAGACAAGATGATGATAGGGAAGCATTTAAGAATCGGTTTAATAGATTTCTGTAATTGGTCCGAAAACAGAGGCTGGAGGAGATAGTCAGAAGACAAAGAGTTTTTTTTTCCTGAATCACTTTACCCCCATCAAGGTGAGGAAGCCACTATGACACAAGTGTGTTAATCAGTGTGAAAGAATATGAGAAAGATATTAAGGAGAGAATACAATAAAAGAAGGAGGGACAGAATATGACCAGTCAAGTTGCATTTCGAAATTTAAATGTCAAAAGTACAGTGTAACCCGGATGTAAGAGAGTTGTCGGGACCGGAGAAGAAGTCTCTTATATCCGGTTTTGGTCTATTTTATATACATTAACACAGGCTCTAATTTGGGTCCAGAGAAAATCTCTCTTATATCCGGGTTTTTCTTATATCCGGGTTACACTGTAGTTTAGAAAACAAGAAACTTGAATAGAGTTCTGCAAACGAGATAAGAAAATATTAATATTAAATTTATGTTTCTATCTAGAAATTTCAACAGTGAAATGATGAAATCTCGGTACCAATCTAGTATTATTTTTAGATTCGTAAAGTCAAGGTACGAAAGGAGAAACCTAATAAGAATGGTTAACATGAAAGTATCTATAGAAAAGATAGAGGGAAGCTACCTGACGGTGGTGTGAATGTCTGTTTTAAATGAGAGGAAATTATGGAAAGTCATCATCGCCAACTTCCTTAAAAGGAAATGGCAGATTAAAGAAGTCATGTTAGAGTTTTTCTTTGTTTTAAAGAAATTTTAAAGTTAGATAATTCTTCTTGGTTTTATTTATTTTATTTTAGAAACCGACATTTTCATTTGTCACAGTCACTGATTCGATTTTTCCTTTCTACATTGAAATTATGATACCATTTTTTTTTCTTGTTGTTAAACCGATTCTCATTTCGTCCATTCGCATTTCTAGCAAGCTCGAAAATGAATTTTGACCTTTATATATTTTTCTTTTATTAAATGTCTACACAAGACAAAGCCCAAGAGTAACTCAATAGAGTGAAGATGTTGTTGGAGCGTAAGATATGAAGTACGCCTTATAAGGATATATAGAAAAATACGCTTATCTCTGGATTAAATAGGTTAATATCATAATCGAAAGTGTGTTCCACAAAGTCGGTACTCTTGGGGATAGATTAATTTGTTTTTTACGGGTTATCGACCCTTGCAGTTTATTTAAAGCCCAAAATACTTTTAGATTGTAAGAATTTTTATATTTGGAGAGAATACTGGTTTAGTGATACAAGTTTTATTAATTAACTCATACCTGGGGTAGAAGTGGATTCATGCCTTTCTCAAGGGTAAGTGAATACAGTGAACCTAACTGTGATTGAACTCGGTTCTCCGATTAAAAATTCCGTGCTACCCATTACACCAGCCGTGCACCCAAGCTTACAGCACCGGATATTCCTAAGCGGTCACCCATCTAGGTACCGACCTGGCACAAAGTTGCTTAACTTTAATGATAGTACAGGAACCGGTGTGGTCATAAGTCAGATATATACGTATACATTAATTCGCGGTTAATAGTCAATTAATAGTTATTTTTACTTTGTAAGAATGAACAGCATCGACTATTTGTCAAACAATTCGTTGAAACTTGAAACTAAAATCGACTCTCCAATTAAAAATTCTGAGCCATTATCAATCACACCATACGCACACGCAAGCTAACAGAACCTGGTATAATCAAGCGGTCACCCGTCTATGTAGCGGTCAGGCTCGAAATTGCTTAACTTTTGTGATCGTACAGTAACCGGGGTTTCAACGTGATGTAGCCATATACAGGGTGTCCATAAAGTTCGTGTGCACTTCAAAAAATTATAACTTTATTTGTATTTGCGATAGAAATAAACTGTAAAAAATGTTATAAAGTTTAACGTACCTAGTTTTAAGTATAGCTAAAATAACTAATGCGATTTCAGGCATTACTGTAAATCAGTTGGCAAATGTTTTCCGTGAACTGCAAAATCGTATTACCCGTTGTATTGCTAATGATGGAGGACATGTGGAAACTTAAATAAAATTTCAATAAAACCTTAAAACATAGATTTACTTCTTTCTAATCCTTTTTACAAATTATTTCTATCGCAAAAACAAATAAAGTTATAAATTTTTTAAAAATGCACAAGAACCTTATGGACACCCTATATATATATATATATATATATATATATATATATATATATATATATATATATATGAGTTATTTTAATTTGCAAGAATGAACAGCATCGACCATTTGTCAACCAATTCGTTGAAACTGAACTCAACTCTCCGATTAAAAATTCAATTACACCACCCGCACAAGCATGCTAACAGCAGCTTTGTAAAAACAAGCGTTCATCCATCTCGGAAGTGATTAGGCTAAACTTTGGTGATCGTAGGTGAAACGGTTTTTCAGCGTGATAAGATCGTAAGCTGTTCCTTCAGGGAAGTTGTGTGAATGGAACTTAGAAATGGAATAGGGTGAAAAATGGAATGATCTACACTAATGTACGCGAGATGGCAGGTTTTCGATGTGATTGTTAGAACTGGCGGAACTGAGGAATGTAGATCGCCAAATCATTTGTCATCGAAGTAGCGATAAATTGGCGGTAGGATTGCGACCATACATCTGTTGGAAAGAGGTTGTAGGTTGTAAAATAATTCATCACACACGGGTTCGCGTAAAAGCTTTTGAAATCCATCAATGCTGAAAAGTGAAGACTCGCCAACACCAATTTAGATGCGGCTGTAGTACTCTTGTAAAATTAAATCATAGCAGCAGAAGTCCGGTATTTACAGGAGCTATGCGATTACGGCCACTCTTCTAGATCATCTTGTACTAAAGCAGATGAACTCCCGGGCTTTGGGCCTACTTTTTTCTTAATTTTCATCAATGATATTCACGATGGCATCAGCTTTCAACTTGACACTTATACTGATGACAACTATTTATTTCTGTCTCGGTAGTATGTCAGATCCGATCGATAAGGCCAACTTGGCTGCTGATCTAAATTTCATTACAGTCAATTATTAAGTGAGGCAAAAGATGGATTGTTAATTGAAACACCTTCAAAACAAGACTACTATTAATCATCTGAGAGAATCCTTCCTTCTTGCCATCAGTATGGGTGAGGCTAATCTCTAGAAGACCGATTCTTTGCGCCTTCTCGGGTTAATATTCTCGACTAACATGAAGAGGGAATAATATATTGAACCCATTCATAAATGTAATAGTAGACAATGTTTATCTCCTGAATCTTACATATTTATATGTCTACAATTCCTCCAAGACTCGAATAATGCTGTCACATATGTTCTAGTGATCCTGCTATATATTTGGAGATTCAAGATAAATTCAACGACGAATCAACAATATTACTCTGTCCTAACATGACGTCATGGCTTCAGTCATTTTCCCCATTGACGTAAAACTTTTTGCCTGTGCCTTTTCTATAAAAATTCTCATGCTAATTGTTCGGATAAGATCTTTGCTATGGTACATAAACTTTATGAATTTAAGCGCAGTTCTATATTGACAACAAGGTATCATAAATTTAAAGTTGAATTGGTTTGATGCAACCGTAAGTTCTATTCTGGCGGTTTCTTTAGTCTCACATCTCGCTTCAGAAAATCTAATCTGGCTTCTTGCTTCCCATTTAACTTTGATCTTCATAAATTTAAATGCAATGCCAATCGTTATGTAATGTCTTTCATTTCTATTATTGTCGCTCCTTAAAATGCTTCTGTTTTTTAATTCTTTCACACTCTGTAACCCCTTGAATATTAGTGACTTTACTACCTTGCTTGAGGCGATTCCGATTAAATAAATATCCCTATTTGATATTCATTCAAACAGAATAGGTTGAATTACTCTATCAGATCGACAATTAAAATAACATACAGAACAATTAGACTCTTATACGGCAGCATAATATCGGATTCGCTCCGGTGAAATAAATCTCATTATTCATTTATTCGATTAGGCGAACTCTTTTTGATCAGGCCATGGAAGAAGGTTTTGAAAGAAAGGCATTTCAGCGTAATTCGGTTTGTTGAGAAAGTATATTGACGATATCTGTTATTAAATATTTATTAAATAAACTGTCAGAAAGCTAGCAATTTAGATTTATTTGTATGCTGAAGTGGATACAAATATTTGATTTTGAGATTTGGTATTTATAAAAAGATGAGACGGTGTTTGAATTAGGCGCATGTTTACGCCAATTTAGAATATATATATATCTATATATATATATATATATTTGTGTATTTAGGCAGCAATCCTTCTTTCATGCATATTTCATTGAATACGACTGACAAGGTGCTATTATTTAGTTATTTTATACAATTTCTCATGCGATCTAATTTTTTTTTCTTTTAGGATGATAAATTTTATAAAAACTGCCGGAATGTTCTTTTTATCTGAGCGATTTCGGTTATACATTTAGCCATTTTCAAGGTTTAAATATTTTAACTGTTAAATAAGAAATAGTTTGTTGTATGTATGTTTTATAAAATGGTTTCATTTTTCAAACCCCGGTTAAGATAATGTGTCCATGTTCAAAGTTAATATTATTAAGTGTTGGTTTGTTTGTTTTTATTACTAAGGCTTCCATTATTCTTAGTCTTTTTTTTTTGTATGTAGATGATGCTATTATATTAATATTGTCAACAAGTATGTTACGACTAGTGTCCGGTAGGTCTCCATGAATATTTAAATGAGATCTAATTGAGCTATATATATATATATATATATATAAGAGAAAGAACAGATGGTTGGAGTAAGAATCCACAGTTCTTAGTATTTACATTTTTTTAAAAATTGCCTAATACAAAATAGAGCAAAATATTATTATAATATTTTTATTATAATAGATTACAATGAAAATTTTTACATCGCTACACAAAAACTTTCATGTTTCAGAAGTATAATTGTTCCTCTTCAGGCAATGATAGATAATCCAGATATGCCCACAAGTATATTTTTTAATTCTACTTTAGGCCTCCCCCAATAATTAACTTTGAAAAAAGCTAATGACTTATTTTCAAATTTCCCAAATTAATCATTTTTATCATATGGTATCTTCCATTGCTCGAAAAGGAACCAATATAGTTCCGAAACAGGATATTTTTTGTGTAGCGATGTAAAATGTTTTTATTCTAATCTATTATAAAATATATTTTAAGACATTTTTTTATGTTTATATATTCTTTTTATAGATACAAATATATAAGTAAATGCTCTGTTTATAATAAACAGTATTAACGACCTGGATGTCCGAGAAACTGTCATAGAAATTATGCGTCCTCCGACAGGAATCGAACATGTATCTTACACGGAACCGTCATATAGCCTGATGTGCTTTTACTGATTTAGACACAGAGGAGCGTTTCGGTTAACAAGGTCGATTTTACTGGTTTAAAACTAAAATTTTCCATGATTTTTCCTCGTATATTCATATCTGCTCGATACGTATCCAAATGTAAACAAAGACGTCACACATTATAAATAGATATGAATATACGAGAAAAAAAACATGGGGATTTGTAGTTTAAAAACAGTAAAATCGACCATGTTAGCCGAAACGCTCCTCTGTGGCTAAATCGTAAAGCACGTCAGGCTAAATGATGGTTCGATTCCTCTCGGAAGACGCATATTTTCTATGAACATTTCTCGGTCATTCCGGCCGGTAAATGTTGTTAATACTTGTTTACTATAAACAGACCATTTACTTAAATATTTGTATCTATAAAAAGAATGTATAAACATAAAAAAATGTCTTAAAATAATATTCGGACTTTGTCTATTATATAGAGAGAGCATTTTTATTATCAGCTTCGATTTAGTTGGATCATATCAGCTACTACTGTATTACGTTTTATATATAAAATATAGTTTTAAGGTATGTTATATTCATAGATAAGGATGGTTAATATCAGTAGTAATGCGTATATAAATATAAAACTGGACAGGCCTGAAGAATGCTGCATTTAAGCATAAAACAGACTATCGACGCGCTGTTTTCACCTCAATGTCCAATTTTATATATAATAAGAATAATAATAATAATAGACTCTCCCGTCGGTTTCAACGTATGAGGATCTGCCAGCTTATTGATTCAGTTATGAAAGTTTATGCGCTATTCTTAAGTGGCATTTAAGACCCGCTAGTGATTTACGTAGAAGGCCGTATATGGAGCAAGTGTGAGGATTGTGAGATGAGGTCACTGTTAGATTGGTTGACCTTTTAGAACGTGCTCTCGCTTCTTGAAGATGATTCAGACAAGCAGATTGAAAATTTCTGAGTCCACTAAAACACGTTGGCCTCCATTTATATATATATATATATATATATATATATATATATATATATATATATATATATATATATATATAAGCTGTATCAAAATGCTTTTACAAAGGTTGGGGCTGGTTCCACACACTAAAACAACGATAAATCTCTATGTAGCCATATGTCTGTAAATCCTATGTTTTTTAGTT